TCTGGAATCCAGAATTTCTTCAGGTTCCCCAAATGATTCTTATGTGCACATGCTGTAGTTTGAGAATCATTTTTACTTAAAGAATCTTACTCCCATCATTCTATTTTGGCTTTTCCCTCAGGTACACGGTGTGAAAATTAAAAAATAAAGTTCGAGGATCAGTGTTTTTTAGCTAGACATCTTGGGTTTGAATCCTGGATCTACCAACAACAAGCTACTTTTATCTCTTTGGGCAAATGACTTAACTTCCCAGTGCCTCAGTTTCCTGATTTCTATTATGTAGATAATAATAGTATATACCTCCAAATGTTGTTATAAGGATTAAAAGTTAATAAATATGAAGTGCTTAGAATTGTAATTGGCTCAGAGTAAGTGCTCAATAAATGCTAGCTATTCAGACATCTTTGGAAAATATCAGACTACAGGGAGAGAGAAGCTAGTGAGTGGTAGGGAAATGTGCCACATTCATCCTTCTGTCCTCTGTGTTGTGTGTTCTGGGGCCAGGATTATGAAAACTACAATTGTCTTGCCAGCTAACTTTCTATTAAGTTCTGCCAGTAGACTGGAAAAAGGGGAGGAAGGGACTTAACTCCATTCTACTTGCTGGCTATTCTTCTGTGTTCAAACAACAGCCCTTCACCCTGACAGTGACAGTTGGAATCGGTGTCTAGCTTTTTCCAAAACAGCTCCTTTGTGCCCCCTTGGAAGCACCAGTAGTAACCAGGCGGGGCTCTCTCCTCAGAGACCTGACTCCTAGCCCCTGGGAGACCTCTCCTCAAGACATCTAAATTAGGATACCCTGATATCGTCTGTTTCCCCAGTTCCAGAGGTGGTAGCTACTTCTTGCAGTTATTATATCTGTGTTAAATCAAGATATTCCTTCTTGCTTTTTAAAAAATACCTGTTTAGCCAATTCCCTCTATTTTTTCTCTGTTTAAAAAAAAAAAAAAAAAACTAGTATAGTTTCTGTTTTGCTGACTGGACCCTGACAAATACAGAATGTTAGAGATAAGCTTTTAAATAATGGTCTAGGCAAGGAGAAATGAAGGCACAGAAGCGATCTGGCAGGTCCAGATCACTGATTGAATGTGGGAGGAAGAGGAGGAGGAATCAAAGATGACTTTGAAGTGTCGAACTGAGTGAATGAGAGGGTGGCGATGCTATTCTGAGAGGAAAACAGTGTGGAGAGACTAGGTGATGAGTTTAGTGGTTGGGGCCTATTATTTAAGGTTCTTGTCGGCTCTCTAGTGGGAAAGTCTAGAAGGCAGCTGCAAAGAGGCCAGGACGTGGATGAAAGTCATCCACTCAGATGGATGAGATTGTCAGAGGAGAGAGGTAGAAAAATGAAAAGAGGAGTTACTCTCCTGAAATGGGAAGATCAATTTCTAAAAGGACACCAAAAGTGACAACTAATACAAACAACAACGATGTAAAAAGAGAGGAGAGAAGGGCAGGGCCATGACTTTATGGAATATAGCTTTGCGGAACTGGAGAAGGTGGAGGGGCCGGGGAGGAGGCTGGGTAGGAGGATAATCAGAGAGTTCAGTGTCATAGAATTCAGGGAGAAGAATTAATATCACAGAGGAAGCAGTCAGTGTTCAGGAGCAAAGGAGAGGTTGAGAAGAACAACTGAGGAAAGACCAGGGTTTATAAGAGATGGGGTGGGGTAGGCTGGGGCTAAAGAGGGGACTTGGAAGCCGGATGCTGAGAGACTAAGGACTAAGTGGACTCTCGTGTTATAGCTTAGCTCTGGAAGAAGAGAAAGCCATAGCTTGGGGGTGAATAGCAAGGTTTTGTTTTTATTTTGTTTTAGAGCCAAGACAAACCCAATCATGTTTGTTGGGGCCAGGAAAATGTGACTGTTAGGCTATCTTGCCGTAATTTCATTTCTGTCCCCAAATATCTGTATAGTCACATCAGAGACAATACATTTGAATTGAATCAGTTGCAAAAATATTGAGCAAAATTCTGATGCTGCTCCCTGTGACTTAAAATGGACTGGATAGATGCTGAACAATGAGAAGCAGACTATCTATCTCAGATGTAACACATCCAGTATATTCAGGTGGGTATTAGGCAAGGGAATTAACGCGATAATAAACATCACCCAAATCTCTGTGGCTTAACACAACACAAGGCTGTTTCTCCCTCTTGTCACAGTCCATTTATCTGTTAACAGGTGTTCTTCCATGCAGGGACCCAAGCTTCTTCTCAACTAGTGGCCCCACTATTCCCTAGGGCCTCAGCGTCCACGGATATGGAGAGAATGGACTCTCCTGGAGGTCTTAGAGGTCAGGCTTCCATTAGCCGGCTCAGCCTGTGTCCCAGTGAGTGGTAACGGAGCGTGGGAAACACAGTGGCACAGTGCGCCTGGGAGCAGAGGAGAAACACAAAGGCTAACTAAGGTTCTTTCTTTGTTTTGGTTTTTCATTTCCAAGCTCCTTCACTCTAGTGGATAACAATCTCTTCTTTGAAATTCTAGCAGAATTTGCATTTAGTCCAGCCTACACTCTCTCCTAGTTCACTCACTCAACAAATGTTTATTAAGTGCCTACTATCTGGCCAGCCCTGTGAATGCAAGCATGCCACATTCTAACAAGGAGGCAGATGGGAATTCGAAATTTGAATGCAATGAGAGAAGTGCTATGTTAATTATATACTGGCTGTGGAAACACAGAGGTGGATTAATTCTCAGGTAGTTCAGCAGATTTTGCAAGAGATAGCATTTGACCTGTGACTAGATTAATAGGAGTTTACCAGGCTAAGGAGTCGGGTAGGAGGGTGAAGACGGAGGGTGTTCTATTGTCCAGACATTCCAGGCAAAAAGAACAGCATTGGCAAAAGCATGACGGGGTGAGGGTACTTGGCGTGTATGGAAAGATTCAGGTCTGAGTATAGGTGGAGCTTATATGGAAGAGATCGTCTGAAGCTAAATTGAAGGGTCAAGTCCAAGGCCAATTCATGAAAGTCCTTATGACATGCTGTTATGGGCCAAATTCTCTCTCTCTCTCTCTCCCCGCCCCCGGCCCCCAACACACACGTTGAAGTTCTAACCCCCAGACCTCAGAAAGTGACTGTGTTTGGAGAGAGTATCCTTACACAGGTAATTAAGTTAAAATGAGGTCATTCAAGTGCTCCCTGATCCAACATGACTGGTATCCTTGTAAGAAGAGGAAATTAGGACACAGACACACAGAGAGAGAAGACTATGGGAAGACACAGGGAGAAGACGGTCATCTACAAGCCAAGGAGAGAAGCCTCACAAGAAAGAACTCTGTTGACATCTTGATCTCAGACATCTAGCCTCTGGAACTGAGAAAACATCATTTCTGTTGTGTAAGCCACACAATCCCTGGTACTTTGTTATGGAAGCCGTAGCAGACTAATAAACATACCCAAGAATAGGAAAGGAGGAGATGTATTCTAGAAACATTTTAGAGTCAGAATCAAGGAGGCTTGGAGAGTGAGACAAGGAAGGATGAGAGAGGGCAAAGCTAAGGGTGACTGAAGTGTTTAGCTTCCGTCTCCTGGATGGGTGGATGGTGGGGCTAGTAATTGTGAAATGCAGTTGAGGACGAGAAGGTTGCATGCATTATCTGTTAGTCATGTCACATGTGTGTCTTATTCCTTTACAAGCCTGGAAGTCTCTAGTGTAGGGTCCTACCTAGTCAAGGGCCAATGTAGTCTATTGCTTTCAAATTTAGCGCAGGTTAAAGCAGACTTGGTTTAGTTAGTTCAGTTTATCACTGGTATTATTAATTGTTGAATTAACAATGATAGGGTCTCTTAAAAAGCTCTGGTAAAATGTTAACAAATTAAAAATACATTGTTCTGTCTACGGCCATTCCACCCTGAGCACGCCTGATCCCATCTGATCTTGGAAGCTAAGCAGGGTTGGGCCTGGTTAGCAATTGGATGGGAGACCACCTAGGAAGACCAGGTGCTGTAGGCATAAAAATTAAAAAAAAAAAAAAATACATTGTTCTATGCTTCCTGCCCCGGAGCATGCAAAATATACATCCTCAGGCTGTTTTAGTGGAACTCAGTGGTGGAATTATCCCAGCGAGAGCCTCTGAACAAGTAAAGCATCTGTCTTTGCTATCTTTTGGAAAGTGAATGGGACACCACCTCTGCTGGATATATTTTTTTTTTCCTGAACCATTCTATTAATGCCATTCAAGTAGAGAAAATAATCAGAGGTAATTGCATTTCCAGTATAAAAAATAAATAAGTACTGAAGTCAGTGCAGGGCCATGGCTGTGACAGCCTGGAAGCAGCCCTGAATAAATGCTCATTTTAAAGAAAGCATTCTTGGGACTTGGAGTATAAAGAAAACGTGGTTTAGTCGAGTGCATCTTAATTTACATCAATAGATATTTGTTTGCATTTACTCCAAGGAATTCAGAATTACATGGTGGTGGGAGAAACACTGTGCTTGATAAAAGCAGAGGCTGGAGAAAACCCACGTGTTCGGGATGCTGAGAACTTGCTGAGGAGGCAGAGGGACAGTTTTAATTGGCTGCATTTCATTTGTGAGGCTGACAGTCTGATGTAAGGGACGTTTTAAGAAAATTGCTGAATCCCGGAGAATCGTTCTAGAAGAAAAGAAAATCATCCTCCTGTCGTCGAGAACACATGCAAACCCCACATTTGATTGCCATTTCTGAGTTTTCATGAAATGTGTAATATTGCAAAGCCTGTGATAGGACAAAAGGATCAGCTCTTCAGCGGTTTTATTAGTTTTGATTTTCCTTTTAGAATTTGCTACTGTGTTGTCTGTTTCCTCTGGGACCCCCTGTTTTCTTCTCCATCAGTAATAACTAGAAAGAAGTTCAGCCGACAGATTCTGGAAGACTGTTTTCCTTTGCCCCTATTTCCTCCTCATTCCTCCCCCAGGTGACACTGGAATTATTATTTTCTTTGCGGCTAGTTTTTCGAACTATGTATTTTATGAAAACTTCTGTTAGGAAGAAAATATCCAGAGACTCCCTAGGTACCGATAAAACATTAATTTATTGCCTCTCCCACCCCGGGTATCGTAAATAATAAAGCATTTGTTACAGATTAAACTTTAACAATTTTCTTCCAAAGGTCTCTTCTAGCTTTGGGTAAAGACCATGGTCACTTCTGAAGAGAAATGCTGTCCAACTACCAACGAGAGGATGTTTGGGGAGGGGTGTCATCTGGGCAGGATTACTTGGAAAATGCTTTAGGCCGATGAAAGATCTGAGAAATGGTGTACTTTTCACTCTTTCTTTTCCACTTGTTGTGTAAGGCCTCCGAACCCAATACCTGTAGGGCCAAAATTTTTGGCATAGCAAACTGTGAACGAAAAGAGGGCAAGGGGAGAGAGAAGGGGTTGGTTAGCACCATTATTTCAGTTCCTTCTGTCTGAATATAGTCCTTTCACCTGTGAGAGGCATTCTCTTGATAAATGTATTTATAAGTTAACTTGTAAGTAAATGGAACTATAATTATTTTAGATCATCTAATAAAAATTGTTAATACTTTTTACACTTCACTGTGTTCACAGACATTTTCTCATTTGAGTCAGCATAATCGGGCCCCAGTTGTCTGGCTCAGCCTCATCTTCCACTGCCTCCTGCCTCTCTCTAGGCACACAGAATGACGTACAGGTCCCGGCATGAACCATGATGCCCTGGCTTTGGTGCTTTTGCATTCACTGCTTCCTGTTTCTGGAATGCCCCTTCCCAAACCCACATTCATCCTTCAAGACCTAGGGGAAGCTTGTCTTCTAAGAAGCCTTCTCTCACACACCAGGCCGATCACTTATTATTGTATGCTACTGCATTGCTTATGGTCCTCTACTAGAGCTTTTTTCACTTGGAAATGCAATTATTTGACTGCATGTTGATCTCCCTGCTGGCTGCAGCAATATTTTAGGGTTTTAAGGCCTATGAATGCTGAGAACACTCTCGTAACTTCTACTTCGAGGAGAAGGAAACCATTAGTTCCCATTCTGTTTCATTATAGGAAAAGCTTGGCAACTTACAGACTGAGTTAGTAATGTTCTCTGGCCCCTCTCTTGTTATACGCCTCACCGCACTCCAACACACACACTTGGAGATCATGAATTGCTATCACTAAGTGAAAGGGTGGGAGGACCTCACTGAGAACCAGAATAGGCCTAGGAGAGGCTCTGAGGTTAAGGACACACTGCCTTGATCCTAATGCATCCCTTCCTTTTTGTATCATCAGGAAAGAGCTGAGCCTCTGCTACCTCTTCACGAGACAAAGAGATCACGATGCCCCTAGGGGCACAGCTGCAAGGACCAGAATGAAAACCCGCTTGTTGGTTCTATCTCTGTGATCAGTAAGTGATGTGCAACATCAGCAAGGAATGTCAGGAAGGAAAGAAGTGGGGGTGGGGAGGCAGGAAGGTCTTGATGAACTGAAGGGAGGCCAAACTGGATTCTTCCTCCCCCAAGTCACCCCTATCTACCGTTCAGATGGACAGAGGGTATTTGGGTTTTCGGAAGAGAATGCAGTGCTGTTTGTCCAGGCCTGTGCTCTCTTCCAGGACCAGAATCGCGACAAGAACCCTTCTCTTCTCTCCTCTGCACAGGCACCCAGCTGCCCTGAACCACCGAGTGAGCATTGCAAGCATCGGGTCCTGCCACAAGCTCCAATGGAGAAGAACAGAGCTCAGTCAGGCAGGAGATTTCTTTCCCTTAGGCGGTTTTGCTCCCCATCCTGAGAGCCCAAACCCTTCTCGGGCTGAGCAGCCATGCCTCCTGGCAGACACAAGCCTCTTGGCATGGATGCAACTTCTCCTCCCAAAGACCCTTGGGAAAATGTCTCTATGGAGCATCTGGAACCACTCACCTTTGCAATAAAGTTCCCCATCTTTGTCAGTAACATTCGTTGACTCTAGACTTTTCCCACAGATGGCACAGCGAAAACAGGTCTTGTGCCAAGGCTGAGGAGCACAGGAGAGCAGGAGAGTTACATGGTTAATATGGTGGACAGCAAATTCTATTTCCATGTTAAGTCCCCTGACCAACAGCGTATAAAGGAGCGCCACAGTCCTCGCCATTCATGTACCTGATAGGCCCCCAAATAATTTCTCCAGGGATTTGAAGAAAATAAGATGCTATGGATTTGGCCAGCAATTCTTCAAACCCCTAAAAATAAACTTATCAAAGTGATTTCTATAAGGCAGTTACCCAAGTAATTCAATCTCGTGTTAACTCTGTATTTTCGGCAGAAAAGAGTTGCACAGCTCAGGTCATCCAGATGATTGCCTGCCTTCTGCACATCTGCAAGTCTACAAGGCACAGCCTAGGGGTACTCAAATGTCTTCAAATGGCCAGTCTTGGGCTGGAGACTGGCCTCATATTTGGTCAGACACTTTTCCACGGCCCTTCCCCCGCTTATTTAGTATAAGCCAGGCCTAAATCCTTTGGTGAATACCCTCACTTCAGGCCTGAAACTAGAACTCATAAAAGTAAGTGTGCATAACTGTCTCAGACATTTGCTGACTCCCCAGATTGGCAAGACATTTGCAAGTGAGGATGCTTCTTAATGCTGTGAGGCATTTGCTCTATCCATCGGTGGTGATGCCAGCAGCAGACTGAGTTATGTAGTGGTGACACCTTTCTGGAAGGATTGCAGACACTGAAGGGCAGTGGGGGTGGCGGGGGGCCGCTTGTGCACCTCTGTATCTCCAGAACTTCTAGATAGGTGTCTTCCACCTAGTTAGATAATTCTTTTTACACTGAATTCAGCAGTTCTCATTTCCAAGAGCATTGCAGGTGATAGTCACAGCCCAGGAAAACGGGCGAGGATGGATGGCTTCTAAATTGGTCACTCGGAGTTAAGAGAATAAACGATCTGACTCCCACCCATCTGCAGTTTCTACTTTCTTCTCTCATTCCTCCTAGTTGTTCTACTGGAGATGAGCAAATCCCATTTGGCTCATATAGAAGTCCTTACCTTGCCACCTCCCATCACCTTTTCAGCAGCATAGACTGACTTTCCACATCGAGGGCACTTCTCTGACTCCCCGAACTTTGCAGTGAACTTGGAAGGGTTGCTGGTGGTGGCTGAGCGTGCTGCCTTTGGGGACCTGATGGAAATAGACAAATGAATGAAACCTATAGATCACCCTTGGCAGACAGTACTAGCTGTGTGACCTTGAGCAAGTTCCTTAACTTCTCTGTGCTTCAGACTCCTCATCTGGAGGAGAAATGGGGATAATCTCAATGCCTTCCTCACAGAGTTGAGAGGTTTAAATGAGGTGACATGAGTAAAGCACTTAGAATAGTGCCTGCCTGGCATGTAGTAAGGGCTAATATATGGTAGCTATAATTTATTTTAAACTTTTCTGTTGTAAAGCACTTAGCAAGTGTTCCATGTATGTTAGCTTATATTATTGTCATTGTCATTATTGTGTCATTATTATTGCTATGACAGTTTAGGTTTTTCTGTAGCACCTTAAAGCCCACTGGTCTGCTTTCTGAAATAAATTGTGAAAATATGGTAGGGCAAGATAGAATCTTGACAGTTGATACTAAACAAACCATAGTCCAATGAGCTGATGCATTCCTGGTCTCCGTGTGAGCAATGTCCAAGATAGAGGCACAATAACAGCTCCTGTGTTTCCATATATTTTGGTGTTTCCATGCCCATTTATCACTTGAGTCTCACCCTAACCTCTAAAGTAGGCATGACTAGTTGGAGGAAAGTCAAAGGGGCAACTGCCCAAGGTCAGGCAGCTCATAACTGAAGGAGCTGGGGTGAAACTGAGGTCTCCAGACTCTTGTTCCTCTTCGTGCAGCATCATAAGAAAGCCCTACCATAGAAGAGTAAGCTTTGGGTAATGCATGGCAGATAATGAAGTTGGAATCATCTTTCTTCTTTGAACAGAGTTCCAGTTGGGATTGAGTAATGAGAAAAATTAAAGTGACTAATCACATATCCCTGCACTTTTTTCAGGCTCTACCATGTGCTCCTCTCTCAAGAAGGGGCCAGATGACTCTTTAGATGATCTAATTTCTCTTTGGGACACTGCCTTAGTTGGGTTGAGCCTTTCTGTCCTGTCCCGTTACAGAGCTGAGCCTGGATACCAGCTGGCCAGACAGCAGCTGCAGGTGAGTAGCTGTCAGTCTATGCTCAGTCCTGGGCTGGAGGTTAGCGTGATCTTCAAGATTGGTAGAACAGATTGGTAGATGGAGGAGGCATGGTGTAATATTCCAGTTTCCTTAAGATAATGTCGGGGGATCCTCAGCACCATATTGGCACTAGGCAGCCAAGAAGACCCCTAGAACAGTCATAATTGATTGTTTATTCCTGAGGCACACAGCCCATCTCTGCAGACCTACTTCGCCTGTGATGTGGCCAGTAGTCATCTTACAACCTAAGGTAAGAAATCTTTCAGTGACAAGTACACAGCAAATGGCCATTGCTTCCCTGCCATATTTATATGATTTACACAGACATGTTCAAAGGGAAGAAAAGAGATTCCACGAAGTTTTGCAAAGGTCAAACAATGGAACATCTGTGCATTTTGGGTTTTCTCTTGACATGCAAACCAAAGGCCACGATATAAAAGTAATTGCCCATTTGAGAGGCAGATAATTTAAAGAGAATCTTCAGAGAGATGGCACATTGTTAAAACTTGGTGAGACTGGCTATTCCTATTGTCAGCAAGTCAACAATAGAGTCTATTCTCCCACTTCCAGAAAACGTTGCTATGGGAACACAATGAACAATCTTGGTAACTGGGGTTTTACCAGGCTGGGAGAAGTGCGACAGTAACTCACTGTTGGAACTGGAGGCCCAGATGTTCACCCGTATCGGTGCTGAGGCAGCCGGCGCCTTGTCCATACCCGATTCCTTTGGGGCCGTATCTGCGCCCATAGCAGACCTTACAGTAGATCTCGGACTCGTGTGCTGCGACCGTGGTGCTATCAAGAGCCTTCCTGCAGGCCACTGCCAAAGAAAGGAAGGTCAGGGGCATGGGCTTAGATTCCTCCCCTCTTCCCTTCAGTGCCACACCCAGGGCCAAGAGACCCAGCCTGAAGGGCCCTTCAGCCAAGAACACAAATTTGATTCCTGATCAGGACATCTGTCTTGGGTTGTAGATTCCATGTCAGTTGTTATTTCACAGATGAGAAAATGGGGGCACAGAGAATGGAAACGTGTCCAGTGGTCTCTCAGCTAGAAAGACGTGGAATTTGAACTAAGTGTATGGTTTCGGACCAGCTAAGAATATTGTCTCTCAATCGGAAGAACCCAAATTTCTTAGTGTTTTACCCTAAATGACATCAGGGAAGTGTATGTGTGCATGTGTGTGTAAGGAGTAAGGGGCCGAGGCAAGAGAGGAACTTATTTTTTTTTTAGTCATCTCAAAATCAGGATTGAGCAGTTTCTCTACTTATCATGGCCTTTGAAGAGCACAGTAATATTCCAGGTGACAGTTTCCACTGAGGCAACTACTTATGATCCAGTTCTGGAAACAAGGAGGTGGTGATGGGGGTAGACCTGCCTCAAGAGCCTTAGGCTTATATTGGCTCAAGCCTCCTGGTCATTGTACATTATCTAATGTAAAGTGTCCCCCATAATGAAAAGTGTGTAAGACAAGTCTCTATTTTTCCAAAGAGAAGATTTATAGATTTCTTTTGCCAATTTGAAAATAACTTTTAAAGATGTAAATGAAAGTGTCAAATGACTACTTATAATATTTAATTTAATAATATAAATCAATCATATGTCAATTTGGAGGTGTTATGTTTTTCTAATCTCACACAAATTCAGGAAACAATTATATTCAAATTCTTTCTCTGCATCTTTAGCATCTCATCTCCCTCATCACCAGAGTGTCTTTTTGAGACAGCTGGCCCAGCTCTCCAGAGCAACTCATCTCCATTCTGTCAGCATGAGAGGCAGCCCTTTTTGCACCTGAGTAGGAGGCTGTCACCTGGCAATTGTATCTCAATAAGAAATTTTTATTAGCATAACATTAGGACAGCTTTTAAAAAATAAGTAGGATTTCCACAACTTAATAACTTGTTGAACTGCTTTGTAACAGTGATCTTTCAAAGCTGTGTATGGTGATGCGCAGCGCTTATAATAGTGAGGTCATATTTCCAGGAATAAGAATATATGTGCATTTAATCTTTTTTGCCTCCTTTTTTTCTTTTAAACCTCTTCCATCCAAGTGACCTCTGTATTATACAGTGGTCCCCAACCTTTTTGGCACCAGGAACCGGTCGATTCTCCTATGAGAATCTAATGCCTGATGATCTGCGGTGGAGCTGAGGTGGTGATGCTAGTGCTGGGGAGTGGCTGCGAATACAGATGAAGCTTCACTCGCTCAGCCACTGCTCACCTCCGGCTTTGTGGCCCGGTTCCTAATAGGCCAGAGAGTGGTCCTCAGCCTGGGGGTTGGGGACCGCTGCTCTATAAGCAATTCACCATTGAAGGAGGTTGCTTAAGGCTAATATGCCCTCTTTAAATGGTATTTTATTTAAGAAAAAAAAAGTAATTGAATAGGAAAGTGGGAGTGGAAGATAAGGATACAGATGAGATGGGATTGGCCAGAGGTTGGTGGTTGCGTGGCTGGGGACACAGGCATATGGAAGTTCATTAAACAATTACATCAGTGTTGTGTGTCTTAAAACTCTGTTAAAATTTTTTTTTAATTAATAAAAAAGTAACCGAGAGACTATCTTATAGCACAAGAGAGTTTATAAGGCTTCGAAAATAAGGGAAACCCCTTTTTTGAGGACTGATTCTTGGGGAAAAAAAATGCCTTCTATTTGGGCACGTAAAGTATATACACCTGTCTCCACCCTTCTTGTTGCTATCAGTTATCAATCTCCAAGCAATTTTCCAAATACTCATAGATGTTCTTGACTCAGAGTTCCTTAAGAGTAAGATTTTTATCTTAATATCTCCAGAACATAGCATGGAGGCTGGCCCAGAATTAATCCTTTGTAGACATTTGTTGAATGAATGAAGGAATGAGTAAGTGGATGGAATGCATGCACGCATGTGTGAATGAAGATTAGTGACTTGTCCACAACTATCCAGTCGTAAGTTGCAGAGCCATAACTGGCTTCAGATCCTTTGACTCCTACTCCTATGCTCATACCCATCACTCCAAGACTGCTTATGCCCTATCATGCCCTGGCCAATTCTAGAGCCACATTCTGGCTTCTGACCAACGTTCATACACAGGCACAGTAGAGCTGTACCTAATGTAAAGTGTCCCCCATAATGCAAAGCATATAAGACAAGCCACTCGCCTGCCACATGTTGTGCTGTAAACACATAATGCACACTGAATTTCAAATACTTAATACAAACAAAAAAAGAATAGAATATATTTTGTTAATAATTTGTATATTGATTACCCATTGAAATTATAATTTTTTAATATATTAGGTTAAATGTTTTAAAACCAATTTTACCTGTTTCTTGGTACCATTTAAAATATTGTTATTAGAAAATTTTAATTTATATGTGTGTCTTGCATTATATTTTATTTGGACAGCACTGGTAGGGAGGATTAAGATTTGTCTAAAAATTAGACAAACACTGGCCAGAGGACAGGCTTAGGTAGACTCTGCTCTCTGAATCCTATTTTTGTCAGGTGTAGGGTGGCCTGTGGACAGGCACGTCTTGTGATGATAATATTTAAAAAGTGTACTTCTCTCTAGGATCCTTCTACCACTTTAGAAACTTATGCTGCTCAGATCTCCATCCCAGCTACGAGTTCTAAGGAAGATATCACAAGTTTAAGGGGAATGTACCACCAAATGTTCAAATTCCTTCTTCCGTGGCTCTATTAAACAGGGCATCTTCCCGCTGTCTGGGAAAGACAAAATGCTCCTTACCGTGAGAAGCTTCCCTACCATTTTCTGTTCCCACTCAGGTATCAAAGTTGATCAAAGGAGAATAAAAGCCTAGAGGGCTGGATTTCCATATCAAAAACTCTGGTTTTCTTCTTGTAACAACCTGTATAGTACATATAACCAGCTCTATTTTATAGATGGAGAAATCGAGGCTTGATAGAGAAATGACTTGCCCAAGATCCCACAGTATATGGCAGACCCCAGACTCAAACTCTAGTCATTTTTACTTCAATTTCAGTGTTCTTTCCAATATTCCTCACTCCCATTCTTTATAAAGGACATTAGCTTTTGGACAAAAGCCAGAGGGATATGGAATAAATTCTCAAGCAATGACTTCTGGATAATAATAATAATGAATCTGATTAATGTGTCCAATGATTTAAAAATAATTACCCATTACTAAAACCCAAAGCGTTAGTGAATCTGCCAACCAAATCACTCCAGCCTTTTCCCTAGTTCTTTGATGATAATTATGTTTGCTGTGGGAGGTAAGGGATAATGGAAACTCCTGCAGCAGATAAAACATTACTATTTCTGGCAGCTTAAGGATGCAGTGTCTCTTGCCCTAACAGATGGAGCCCAACCCTTGAAGTTCTGTTTGAAACAGTTTGGGGCAGTGTGATGCCTTGTGGCCACTGGACTGAGGCATGGAGGTGGGTGAGGGACTGTGTGGGGAGGAGGGTCTGCTAAATGTCTGGTAAAGCTAACACTTAAGCCAGACTTACTGAAGGGAGGCAAAGAAGGTAAGTGGCCTTCTCCCAAACAGGGCTAGCTACTAAGAAACTCCAGAATGCAAAGATGTCAGAGTCTCTGGACTGGGAATATGAAGATATAGGTTCTACTCCTGACTCTGCTGCAGATGCTTGTGACCTGGACTCAATGATAAGAAATGAGTCGTCTAAGTCATATGAGTCATGCGGAGCCACACTTCCAGGTGAGCACAGGGTCTTAAAGTTCCTCCAGTTTTAATGTCTGTGAATCTATGCCTGGTGGATGATGGTCAAGATCCCTTTGTCAAGTTACTGCTGCTCAGGTCCTAGAACTCTTCCCTTTCTGACTCTTACAGAATTGGCACATGTTGCCCTTTGCCCCCTTCCTGACCCCTCCCCCCACCCCGGATAGTCTGACACAGGTTCTTAGGAAAAGCCGGTTGCAGCTGACTTCAGTGACAGCTGGCCAGTGGGAAAGGTACCTAGGGCCAGATCCATCCTGGCTTCAGATAAGTAACAGCTGTCTTTCTCTGCCAAGTCACACTTTGTAAATGTCGCCACTGCGTTAAAGTTTTTACCACTGAGAACAACGTT